ACAGAAGGATGAGCTGCAGCTTTCTGACCTCCTGAAACAGGTAACTACTCAGTCTCTTTGAGCTACACATCTGTAGCAGGGCCCAGGTCCAAGGCTCTGTGTCCTTGTCTGTTCTGACCAGTATAGGGGCTTGTGCCCTTGTGTACCTTTGACCTATCCCTGGGAACCTGGCATCCTGTTGGTAGAAGTGGGGGCAAGGGATGGTGAGGAGGATGTGAGAACTGGTGCCTGTTTCTTTTCTTCTTCTAGGGCTACAACAAGACCTTACTGAGACTGCGTCTGAGGAAGGAGCAGGTTTCAGATGTGCAGAAGGTCCTGCAGGGTGGGGAGCAGGAGATCCAGTTCGAGGATTTCACCAATACCTTGAGGGAGTGAGCAATCACAGATCTAACTTTCTTTGACATTGGTCTATAAGTTCTTGACCCTCAACCATTTATCCGTTGCCTATAAGCCTCTGATTTTGGTCTATGGACCTCTGACCTTGGCTAATAGGCCTTTGTTCTTGGCTTATAGGTCTCTGATCCTGACCTTCAGAATTATGCCCTTGGTTTAAAGGTCTCTTACCATGTTCTATAATGTTCTGGAATTACTGAACCAATTCTTTAGGACTAATGTAATAATATTATTCCGTAATCACTGTATTTATTCCTCACTCCTACATAACTCTGATCTTGGTTCCATGCTCCCTCACAAATTCTGGTCTATTCCCTTAGTCATTTTCTCCCTGCTTCCTTGTTAAACATATTAACAAACACTGAACAAATATACTATGAGATCAGCTGTAGGCTAGCCACAGAATAAGAAGCAGTTGATCATTGCTAAGGCATCCAGTGAAAGATAGGGCATAGCAAGAGGTGAGGCTAGAGAAATGGGCAAGGACTACATTGGAGAATCCTCAAACACCACTATGCCATCAAAAGAATAGGGTGCCTGAGGAATTTTAAGCAGGTAAGGGGTATATTTATAAAGATTAATTAACTCTGGTTGCATTATAGAGGATGGATTTCAGGGATAGGAAGTAAAGCAGAAACTGAGGGTGGGGGGGTGGTTATTTAGAAGCAAAAAGATTTCTTTGGAGTAAAACTTCTAAACCTTGAAGATCCTGGCTTTCCCATGTGGTTCCCTTCTTCTCAAGAGAGAGTCCTGTCAGAGTCATAATAGAGAGATCACAGACACAGCATGTCAGAAGTCATTTCATCATCCTATTCTCCTCAGACTGGGGCATGCAGAACACGAGATCACTGAACTTGCAGCTGCCTTCACCAGGTTTGACCAAGATGGGAATCGTGTCCTGGATAAGAAGGAGCAGGAACAAATGAGACAGGACCTGGAGGAGGAGAGGGTGAGCCTGGCTGGTTGGTGGAGAGGTAGTATAAGGAAATTGCTTACCCTCTCCTCCCTGTCAACACGCCCAGAACACAAACCCTAACTGAAAACCTGACAGATGAGCAGGAAAGGATTCTCTAGGATAGCAGTTCTCAAATTGCTGCACATTAGAATACTCTGGGAGTTTTAAAAAATTCTCATACTCAGGCCATGCACCCTAGACCAGAATCTCTTGGGTGGAGGTAGTTTCAAGGTCCAGACATCAGTACTCTGTAAAACTCCCCAGGTGATTCCAATGCATAGCCAAGGTTGGGAACTATTGCCCTAAAACATAGTGTTAGTGGGAAAAGGACCAATTGCCCAAGAATCCCTGACAATTCCCTTTGAAGACTTGCCTTCTTCTTGAGATTTTCAAACTCAGATCCTCAGCTGCCTCTACTCAACCTGCTTTATCCCTATCTAGTAGACCAAAAAGTCGAGGGCAGGAGGGACAGCACAAGAAATTTTGGTACGGTCCCTCCTCTCTCGAACTGAGTTGGCTTCGAGTGAACACATTAATCCAGGCCTCAAGGAGCTTATGTTTTGTTTCTTTGGGAGGCGATTCCCTCCCAGAGGCTGGGCCAGCTTTGTGTTCAGCACTATCCCTCTGATTCCATTGTCTCCAGAGTTTTAGAGGAAAGGGAATAGGAAGAACTAGAGCCCAAGGCCTGGTCCTGACAGCCTATTAGGCCAGGTGATGGAACAGAAACTGATGGCTTCCCAGAGTCATCTTCTCTCTGACCTCTGACTTCCTGATCAGGTGGCCCTCGACACTGAGATTGAGAACTTGGGCCAGTCCACTGTGAGGAATCCACAAGGCGAGTTGGATCGAGAGGCTGCCAGAGCAGATGGCTGGGTTTCAGGAGAAGAATTCTACATGTACGTGCAGCCTGGGGCCCAGGGCTGACTGTGTTTATATCATACCTTGAGCTTCTTTCTACAACCTCTAATCTCCTGTCCTAGCACAGGGAGAACTTGTCCTTTAATTCTCCCTACAAGGCTGAGCCTTACCTTCCTTGTACCTATCCAGACACATTGTTCTGTCCCCTATGCCCCTGTAGACACCTGGATCCCCAGACACATATTTCTGCTCCTTCGGTCTCTCTCAAATCCTGCACAGGCTCACAAGGAGAGTTCTGCAACTGGAGACTGTCTTGGAAAGAGTTGTGTCCCAGGTTGATGCTGTGGGCTCAAAGCTAAAAACGCTGGAGAGGAAGGGGCAGCTGATTTCCTCCCCTGGCATGGTGAGTGGCCCTTCACCTGGGTCCTCTTGGCTCCCCACAGCTGAACCTTACCATCTGTTCTATTCAGTTGATGGAGGCAAAAAATTTTTGAGAGACCGATTTTTCAGGTTCTTGGGGCAACATGTTCTCTGCAGTAGTCAGTGTTATCAGGGGAGGTGAGGTAGGGAAAAAGCCTAAAAGTAGTTGCTTTGGCCTAAGGGCTGCCTTAGCCTCTATTAGATGGTCTGGAATTGGAGAATCAGATCCAGATAAAGGAAAGTGGGACACAAAGTCCCCTTTCTAATGACCTGTCCCATTTTCTTCCAACAGGGAGAACAAGGCATTTGGGAGCACCTTCAGCCAGCTCCAGCTGTGACTCTAGCCCCCTGGGGAGTCCAGGGTGGGCAGGAGAGTGGTGAGGAAAGGGTCCTAAAGCATCAGACAGCAGGTCCCTCTCTCACTGTCTCCCCAGAAGGCCACTCTGCACATGCCCTTCTAAGCCAGCACTTCTAAACCAGCAGTTCCCACCACCACTACTGCTGCTGCTGAGTCCCACTCTGGGTTTGGCCTTTTGAGCCAATGTTTCTGTGTGTAGCTGGGCATCATACTTAGGCTTCTTACTCAGTGTTTCTGTGTGTAGTTATGTAGCTCTTTGTAGCTCTGTGAAATAACATTTCCCACTGGGCCTCTCATTCCCTATGCTCTAATATCTATTGCAGCGACTTGAAAAAAAAGTCAATAACAAACAATAACAGTATGGTAATGACTTTTCCTAAGCACCTGGATAGCCATGATTTGTGAAAAAAGCAGAAACCAAGAGAATAGCAAATTGCTTGCCAGTGAATCTTTATCCTTTAATGCATTTAGAGATCTGCTGCTAGCACCTACGGAGTTCTTGTCTTCCTATAGAGTTTGCCTGTAAAAGAGATAGGGAAGCCATATAGGAGAGGAGACTTTCTCACCTGGGGAGATTACAGTGTTGCAGAAGAGTTAGAGTGACAATCTCCTCAACCTCCTGGGGCGAAGTTCATGAAGGCTCAGTGGAGGAACCTGCTATCGACATACTGCTGAACACTGGGAACTGAGGGGGCTGTAAACCAGCATAAAGATGAGGCCTGAAAAGACCTAGGCAAAGAAATGAACTCAGGATTTAGAGATCTTTAGACTAATATGCGTTGGGCTCTGACTCTGTTCTTCCATGGGACAGAGCAGTTTTCCTGGTGACTATCAATAAAAAGCCTTAGGAAAATCAGTACTTTGTACTTGCTTCTGGGATTGTCGGGGAAGAAGAGAAGTGGAACTGTGAGCCATCTTTGTACTTGGGCTGGGGAAAGCTCATCCCTGCTGGGAGGTCTAGAGTGGAGGCAGTGACAATGTGAAGGAGATGGGTTGCCCCAGGAGTCCCAAAATAAGAACTTCTGGCTCACAGAAATGGTTTGAACTGGTGGGCACTATGGTTGTACCATTACAGACTGGAGACAATGACCTAGGGAGACCTGGTTCTCAGGGTAACGAGAGTAAGGTAGCCCTTACTCTGGGGTGGGGGATAGCTGGTGTGTGTGTGTGTGTGTGTGTGTGTGTGTGTGTGTGTGTGTGTAATGTGGGAGTGTGAGGAGCTGCAGATGGAAGACAACCAGATATAAGACCAAAAACTCCTATACCAAGATTTTGGCTGTACAGGTCGGCATCCCACAACCTGCTATAAATCCCCTTTCCCTTCCCCTGTGACCTTTATCTCTTTCTCATTTTTCATCATCTGTTGCTCCCCAGTTGATTTATATCCACTCCCTTTACTCACCCAGTTCTCCCATTCCATCAAGTACACTCTATACACCCAGGAGACTTATGAAACAGCTAAATAGTGAAGATAACCAGTGTATCCTCAGCCCTAAAACAGCTACGGTCTAAGCTTTCTTACAGAAAGGCTGTATCAACCGAAGAGAAGTAGGTGCCAGCCTGCAGCTTAAGAAAAAGGGGCCAATAAATTAATCAAGACATTGGAAGGGAGAGCATTTCGGCTCAGGAATCAATGCCTGAATGTTTCCCTAAGTCTGAATGAGACTATTTTCAAAAGCATGGGTTCCCTGAGCAGTCTTTGGTGACAAACACCAGCCTGGGTAACCTGTCTACGGTGACTTGGTCAGCAGGCCAGCCCCAAGACAGGTGATGAGTCTTACTAGTGACCCCTCCAGGCAGTGCCCGCAGTTTTGAGCGCATCCTCAGTTGCAGACGTCGCGACTCTTGGCAGTGGATCAACTCACAATAGCCTTTCTTAGCTTCAATTTTGGCTTCTTACTTACATTTTATCACACATTATCGTGCGGCATGACTTAACCAGAGGACAGAGCCGCAAACCCAGGGCTGGGGGGCGTACTCCAAGTGCGCATGCGCATGCCTCCCAGACCCGGAAGCAGCGCGGGGACTAGCATGGCGGCGGTGACGGCGGCCGAAAGTGTCCCCGCGACCCAACGAGAGGAGCCGGTTCGAGGTACGCAGAGTCGATGGGGAAGAAGTGTTCAGACGGAGGCCTGGGGCTCCGGGGAGGGGCCCCAGATGACGGGGTTTACCTGGCAGGAGCCCACAGGTGGGAGGGGCGTGCCTATGTGTGAGAAAGTGTCTGTCAAGGCGTCTGAGGTGGTTGGTCGCGGCATCGAGTGTGAGCTGGGGCGGGTGCAAGGGAGCAGAATTGGCGTGTCAGGTGGGGCAAGGACGAAGTGAGGCACTTGAAACTATGGCATATGGAGAATGGAGCCGAGTTGATAGAATAAGTATAGGTGGAGGGATGTGGGGAGAGAATGCTGTGGCTGGATTAGGACCAGGTATGGGGCAGGACACTTACTCATCCTCCTTTGAGCCAGACGATGCCGCCGTGGAGACAGCTGAGGAAGCAAAGGAGCCAGCTGAGGCTGACATCACTGAGCTCTGCCGGGACATGTTCTCCAAAATGGCAACTTACCTGACTGGGGAACTGACAGGTGAGGCGGGGCCTGGATAGATTCGGGTCGTGCATCACTTGTTGGAGTTACGGTTTGGCTTGGGGAGACCTGGGAGGTGCTTCAGCAGCATCAATCTGCAGCTTCCTCCTTAGTCCCATGCCGTGAAACATGTCTGTCCGAAGTTTGGGGAGGTCATGAATGCGAAGGAAAGAGGTCCATTTCTTTACTGGAGAAATTCACAAACTACTTTCAGAAACACATAAGAATAATTAATCTAACTCGGCAGGCTTTCATAGTGTAGACTAAGGCTGGGAAAACCAAAAGAATTCATCAAGAAGTGCTTCCTTGCAGGAGGTGTATTTTGAGCAAGGTTGTGGAGCAAATGAGTGGCCAAAAAGGGGGATACAACTAGTGAGTGAAGTGGTGTCAGCAAGCAGTTTGTTTGGCTAAAGCAGCTGTATTAACTGGGGCAAAGAGAAATAGAATTGGAGATTGAGGAGTGACCTGCAGATTTAGGGACCTTTTAGGTTGATTTGAGGATTTGGTGACCCACCCTTTAGGACACGATTAATTTTTTGGTCCACGGTGTATTTTCAGGTGAACACATGATCTATGTGGAGGAGAGTCCAAAAATGAAGTCTGGTCCACTGTGGCCTCTCATAAGTGGTTATATTGTTTCACTTCCCCAGGAAATTGCTGTGAGCTAAATTTAGGAGCCAGACTCTATGAGAATAGGCTTGATGCAGAATAGAAGGGCTTATGAGTTTCTATAAGTCTGATTATCTATCTATCTATCTATCTATCTATCTATCTATCTATCTATCATTTCTGAGCAAGAGAAACTAAATAAAAATTTTGACTCTTTAAAAATTCTAAAGATTTGGCAATACTAGTCCCTTTTAAATGGACTAATGCTATGTAGTTTGTCCCCACCACTCCCTGTTTTCTCCCTTTTACCGAGACCTGGTGTCATTTGCCATTTATCATTATTTCTTAATTGTGTTTTTAGTAGTGATACAGAAAATGATTTTCTGCACTAACATCTCTATCAAAATTTGTTAAGTAAACGATAGACTACGATGACCACATAGTCCAATAAGTGGGAAGGAGCTTATTTTTTTGTGGAAGTGAATGATCTTATGTGTTTAATATGCAAATACCTGTCTCGCTTCACTCATTTACATAATCTGGCTGTCTCCTAGGCATTTAGCTCTCTTACCCTTGTTTTAAAGAGACTAATTCAATAGTAGTGAGCATGGATATGGAGGAGAGAGACCCGAGACAGATGAGCGACATTTCAGATGAAAAGTAATGATGGTCTGTGACAGAGTGATGGTAAAAGGAATAAAAAGGAAGACATGGGTGCAAGAACATTACAGAAGTGGAATATATAGGACATGTTAAAGTGGGTATTGAGGGACTGGAGCAACCTAAAATGTGTTTGAGGTTTTAAGCCTGGGTGGTGCCATCAACCAAAATAGAAAGTTGGAAAGAGGAGCAATGTTTAGAGTGAAAATAATACTTTCAGTTTGGCACGATTGATTTTAGTTATTACCAGGACACCCAGGTGACTTGTATATGTGAGTACGGAGCTCAGAGAGTGATCAGAGGAGGAGAAACAGATTTGGGAGTGCTGTGAGCTGAGGCTATGCAGAATGAAATTGGCAAAGAACTTTGGGCTAGATAGGAGGGCCTTGACTAAAATCTCAGAGAATGCCAGTATAGAGCAATTAATTTTTTTTTTAATAACAATACTTACAGTACCTAGGTTTCCAAATGATTTACTTATTAAAAAATTAATTTTAAGTAGGTTGTAATTTCTTCCTGATTGTCATTCTTACTTGCGTAAATGCTTTTTTGAGTTTGAAAGGAAGCTAGCATGACCCTGGCAATGCCATGGGAATACGCCATCCATGTAAACATCAGTCATATGTCGCAGTTGAGAAAAGTTGAGAACCGATAGTCAAGGAGGTTGGATAAAAAGATCTGGCATAGAAACCGAAAAAGAGCAGTTAGAAAGAGATTAGAAAATCAGTGTAGTGTAGTATACAATGCTATAATGGCCAAGGGAGAATTTCATGAAGAGAGATCATAGTGTCAGATACTATAGAGAGGTTCAGGAGGATAGTAACTGAGAAAAGGCTATGGATTTCATGCTTTGGAGAATACTGATGACCTTGGAGCACGTAATTTCTTTGGATGGTGGGGCCACAGACCAGAGTGCAGGTGTTCACATGAGTAAATGGTGAGGAAGAGGAAGCAGAAAGTATACAAGCTCCTCTTTCAAAAAGGTTAGCAGTGAAGCTCCTTTGCTTTTCTGAGAAAATGATGTAAATGTAGCAGAATACACTTGATCTTAACCAAAAGGCTGAGAGGTGATAGATGTAGCAGAATAGAGTGAGTGCTTTGGGGCTGGAGGAAACCTGAATATATATGTAGATAGAGAGGAAGGTCCAGGATAGAGAGAGAATTTGGAAATGCAAGAGGAAGTATCGAAGAGAGGCTTGGAAGAGAGGCCCTGAAGTGGTAGAAGGATTTGAGATCAAGAGCACAGGAGGAGGAGTTGTCTTGGCAAGAACAGGGGCACTTCTGCCTCTTGGGAAAATACTAAGGTACAGAGAAGTTTCAAAGTGAGGCAGAAAGTTGAGGTGTTTATGTAAGTGGGCTTGGTTTTCGGGAAAATTGGAGTAGAAGCCATTTGCTTTGAGTAGGACTGGGGAAGGGAATTGAGAATTTGAGAAGCAGGCAGATAGTTTGGAAAAGTCAATGCATAAAATGCAATATAGAATCACACAGTAATAAATAAGTTACTAAGACGTGGTGAGTTCCTAATTGATTTTACATATATTTATGATGCAGTCCCCCAAATTACATGTTTTCATACTGTAGAAATACTAACACTATTTATTTCACTTTCTTTTCTTAGGACATAAGTTTAGCATTTCCCTTTCTAACCCAGATTCTGAAGTTTGTGGCTCTTATTTGGTTTAAATGGTTTGCTGATTGTTGCCTGAATTTCTGCTTAGACATTCATAGTATACAGGCTGGGTATAAATGTCATAGGTCAAAAGTGACCTGCTCCTTTGACATTCCCTAAGTCATGCCTTGAACTACCATTTAGCCTATAATTCCACATTCCAGTGATTTAAGACAAATCTTAAAGGCATCACATATTCTGTTTGTTTTAAAGCCACCAGTGAAGACTATAAGCTCCTGGAAAATATGAATAAACTAACCAGCTTGAAGTATCTTGAAATGAAAGATATTGCTGTAAACATTAGTAGAAACTTAAAGGACTTAAATCAGAAGTGTAAGTAATAATTTTTAAAATTAAACATGTTTGTAATAAATGTTCTCTTGTGCTTGGGGCTATGGAGAAGGAGAAGGAAATGAGCCCTGTCCTCAGGGAGTTCATTTTCTGAAAGTGAATTGCAAAGCTAAGGTGAATTTCTTCCATTTTGAGGAGTAGCATGTTTTGGTGGTATGGTTATTTCTATTTTTGAATGTTGATTTGATCAGTTTATTTCTAGATAGGGATGGAGGAGAGGAAGGATGGCCAGATTCTTGTGAATTGATTTCACAATGAACTCCAAAAAGGACTACTTTATAAACAGAAAACCAGACATCTATAAATAGAAAATCCTAATCTAGACTGGTAGAATATATTTTTCCATTAACTTCTATTGTGTTAAAAGGGTGCCTTGTCTCTAGGGCACCCTTTCTTGGTCTGGGAGTACCCAAGAAACGGAATCAGTTATGGAAAGATTGCTTGAGGAGCAAGGAATTTAAAAGAGACAGGAGATGAAAGAGACTTGTGTTGTCTAGGTTATAGTCATGCATGATCAGCTAGCTACTGTCTTCTAAAGCATTTGTCCTGTTAGTGATCAGAATCATGTCACCCCTAGTGTGTCTTATGTAGAGCTAGAGAGACACTAGCATTCTTACTTTTCTACTCTTTTCTATACAACTTGTGGAGGCCATGGAAACATGGGGTCTGTCCTTGTTTTTAAAGATGCTGAACTGCAACCTTATCTGGATCAGATCAATGTAATTGAGGAGCAGGTAGCAGCTCTTGAGCAGGCAGCCTACAAGTTGGATGCATATTCAAAAAAACTGGGTAACCATTTTTATTTGTTTTGATTTAATAAGAAATGCCAGTATGACCTTAGCTAATATTATAGTTAACATTTATGGTGTGCCTACAATGATCTAGTTTCATCCTCACAAAAACCTAGTGAGAATAATTTTTTTAAAATAATAGTAATAAAAATAACATTTTCTGAGTATTTAATGATATATCAGGCGCTGTTCTTAATGCTTTACCCGTTTATGTTTTTTATCCTCTCATTAATCCATGAGGTAAGTACATGATTTTTATCCCCATTCTATAGAGGAGGAAACTATGGTTGAAGGGGCTAAGTAACTGTGAGGATACAAAGCTAGTATGTGGAAGAGCTGTATTCCAAACCACCTCTGTTTAATTATAATTTCAAGCTCTTAATTGTGGTTTGGCACCAGATTTTAAAAATGCAGATACATACGTCTTCAAAAACAGCGTAGTCACTCTAGGGTTTTCTTGAAGGTTTACTTTTCCTTTAAGAAAGAAACTGATACCTTTTTTTTTTTTTTTTAGGGGGAAACTGATAGCTTGCTAACTGGCTATGACTCCTATAACCATGATTAAAAATAACAAAGTTTTTATCCTAGATATAATTTATTTTTTGCATCATTGACAATTGTTGACTACTTCAAGAGAGTAGTTTATAGCAGACTGACGGTTGACATGGGTGGTGATTAACAGTTTCATTGTTCACAATTAAATTTACTATATGGCGCCTGTGAACCTTACTATGTAGAAGGCATTTTACCCAGTGCTTTCAAGGTTTTAAAGAAAAAGTGAATCTATTACATTAAGAGCCCTATTTAATGGTCTTTTAAATCTTTGTATCTTTCAAAATTGCTTTCCTAGAGTGAGGAATAGGGATAAGAAAATAAAAAGTGAAACATACATTTACACTTCCTGAGAGTTCCAGTCTGTCTCCCAGAGGGTGTCTGGGATAGTGCCTGGAGAGGCAATGTCTGGTGCCTAGTAAGGCTCCTGGTGGCTCAAGGGCCAGTAAATCTGCTTATTTCTGGTGGAACCATCTGATCAGGTGCTGTTGATAGAGTTAGAACATAGTGAACTTATATTGGGTTCTCTATTCTATGTGTGTGTGTCTGACTCCTTACTTTAAGCTGTGCACATCAATGATATTTAGACAGATATCCAAATATCTGTCCTTAGCTAAAATAACATTTATGGTATGCCTACAGTTTGGATTCAGTTTAGACAGCTGATGAGATTGAAACTAACACACTTTTTAAAAGTGCAATAGACATTTTTGAATTTGCTCAGAAATGCTAATGAAAAAGTATCTTTGTAAGAGCCAGTTTTTAAAATATAGCTTTCTCTCCCTCCCCACCCCGGCAGAAGCCAAGTACAAGAAGCTGGAGAAGCGATGAAAAACTTATTCCTGTGCAGCAGTCTTTTTTAATATGGAAAATGTTTTATAAGACCTGAATCCTGAGGCTGATGAATTATTAAAACTCCTCAAAAGGAAGCATGCTGGCCGTCCCAGAAACATCCCACCATTCAAGTAATCTAGAGGACTACTCCTGTATCCCCAGAAACTTACACTTATAACTCCTTACCTTTTACTTGAATGCTTCATTATCCAATCAGGACACAGAGCCTCTCAAAGTTCAGGATAAACCTAGGCTTGCCAGTTGAATCAAATGAGAGGGCCTGTTTTTTCTACATTATTTCCTTTCCTTTCCTTCCCTTTTTCCTTTCCTTTCCTTTTTCCTTCCCTTTTTCCTTTCCTTTCCTTCCTCCCCCTCCCTTCCTTTTTCTTTTCTTTCCTTTCCTTACTGGATTACCAGTTTATTATAAAAGGATGTTAAAGGATGTGAATCAACAGCCAGATGAAGAGATACACAGGGCCAGGGCCAGGACAAAGGTGCTTCTGTCCTTGTGGAGCTTGGGGCCCCAATAAGGTGGCACAAGGAAGCATTCTCGTTCGCCAGTGTGGAAGCTCTCCCTCTACATTATTTTCTTAAATGGCTGGATTTTGAGTTACTGGATAAATGGTTGTTTTTTCTGTTAATGATGCTAATGTATTGCTAACAAGATTCTAAATTAAAAAAGGAAAACGAAACAAACTTGGTCTTTATAGTTTATCACTTTGTGAATGTCAGTAATTCGCTTTTCTGTAACATTGCAAATAACAGGAAATCTTAAAATAATTTCAGGCTAAGTCTTCTAGACTGAGCAGAAACCGTGAAAGGAGTATTGAGATAGCCTGCTTTATGTGATGGGCCCCTCCTGTCTCTTCTGTGTGTGAGTCAGATGTCTGGGGATGGATGACACCTTGACATGTTCTCCATTTTGGAAATGTGATAAAGACAAAGAGAGGATATGTGTGTGTATGTGTGAGGTGGGGAGGTAGGGCCATCATTCACAAAATAAAGCATTTTATAAAATATCTTCCTATTTTTGTATGCAGTGTCAGGGGGGCTCCTGGGGACCTATTGGTCTTTTTTTTCAGACTAAAGATATCAGTGGATAGAGGATATAGACTGACCAGTCTGGTTTGGAAAACAGGCGACCATTTTCAGAATTGAGTGTTAGCAGCTAGGAAGGTGACCAAGGTCCCCAATTCTATCTCCAAAACAGTTCTTAACTTTCTGTTATTTCCAACTATTTCCGTTCCAGACCACCATTGTTTATTCTCTGCTCCTCTGGACTATTTCACTTATTTCTGCTCTAATCTTTATTATTTCCTGCCTTCTCCTAACTTTGGGCTTAGGTTGTCCTTTTTCCAGTTCCATGCGGTATATAATTTTAGGTTGTTTATTTGAGATCTTTCTTTTTTCTTAATAGAGACATTATAGCTATAAACTTTCCTGTTAGAACTGCTTTGCTACATCTATAAGTTTAGATATGCTGTGTTTCCATTTTCATTTGTCTCAAGATATTTTATTTTCCTTTAAAATTTTTTTTGGCCCATTGGTTGTTCAGGAGTTTGTTGTTTAATTTTCATGTATTTGTGAATTTTCCAGTTTTCCTTCTGTAAATGAATTCTAGTTTCATTCCAGTATGGTTAGAAAAGATACTCGACATAATTTCTATTTTCTTGAAATTGTGGGTACTTGTTTTGTGGCCTAACATGTGATCTATCCTGAAGAATGTTCCATATGCACTTGAGAAGAATGTGTATTCTAAAGCCAGACTTGGTATGCATACAAGGCTCCTATTTTTTCCTTTTTGTCAATATCATTTTGTTATTTCTCTGACACATTGTGTTCAGCTATCTTGTTACACCTTAATTCCCACGAATGAGTTTTCTTTTCATAAGCTTTCCACTTTACAATAAATTATGATTTGTAAGAAAGTTTTAAAGATAATACAGAATTCCACAGATGAATTTTCATATCTTACTGTTATTTCCTCTTCCTGAAATTGTTATCGATCCATGTGTGGCAAACTTCCACTCTTCTTCAAGATTCAGATTTGATATCTGTCTTCCTAGAGTGATATAGTTAGGTTGGGCTAGGTTAGGGCCCAACATTATGCTGAGAACTTCCTAGCAGCTCAGTAACTTCAATTGCCTCGAAATAAAAAGTCATAACGGATTCCTTTTTGTCATTTTCCCTGGGCTGTGCTGTATTACCTATAAAGTAAAAATGCATGCTTAGTGTGCCAGAAAAGCAGGGCATTGATATTTATGAGGCAGGGAACTTGATATATCCCAAAAAGACATTGGAGAAGTTATGAGGAAAACCAGAACTTTGTTCTTCTTCCTTAAACTTATTTTAAGTTTTAGTTAATTTTGAACTGCTTGACTGCCGTTGGTGAGTCTTCCATGCTCTTCAGTTGTCAGGAACGCTCACCTTTGCTTCCATTTCCTTACATACTATTATCTCCTACCAATTGACCTGAACTTTCCAGAGAGTCAATATCATGAAAAAAACCAAGAAGGTAGGTGAGCTATTGTAGATTAAAAGAGACTGGAGATAGAACCAAATCCAAATGTGAAACTTGACTGGATCCTGAATGAAAACAAAAGGTATAAAATAAATTTGGGGGTGACAAAGGAACTTTATGGATTTGTGTTAGGTGATATTATTGAATTAATGTTTATTTTCTTAGGTGTGTTAGTGTTATGATTATGTAGGAGGATGCCCTTATTCTTAGGAAATGCATGTAGAGGTATTCCTGAAATCTGCCATTTACTTTTAAATGATTCATTGAGAATAAAAGTGCTTGTACACCTTGAAGGAGAGAGGAAGGGAGAGAAAGAGAGAAAATTTGGCAACATATTGACACTTATTGAATTGGGGTAATGGCCATTATTCTTGTAACTTTTTAATAGGTTAACACTACAAATTGTGTGTGGAGGGAATCTATCCTGCCCATTACAGTGATATGGTTAGGTTAGGCTAGGTTAGGGCCCATTATTGTGCTGGGAACTTCCTAGCAGTTAAATAACTTCAATTGCTCCGAAATAAAAAATCATAATGAGATTCCTTTTTGTCATTTCCCCTCCCTCTCTCCTTTGCTCGCCTCTCAATTCCTCAGTGAAGCAAAACCACCCGAAAGAGTCTTCTGTCCCTCGGCACTCGCCGTAGGTAACTGAACCTTCATTGGTTAGAGTGTGTGACGTCATATTGTAGCGCGGCTGCTTTTTTCTGAGGAGCGCGGGATCGGTGTCCCCACTTTGAGTAGTCGTCCCAACCCACGCTGTAGGAACCGATGGCTCAGAAACCTCTGCGCCTGTGAGTGACCCTGAATCGGAAGCCGCTGTGTGTGTCTGTGTGCGTCTCTGTGTGTGTCTGTGTGTGCGCGCGCCCGTGTCTCCCGGCCGGGATCTCACGAGAAGCGAAGGGAAGATGAAAAGGGGAGGGTGAGAGCGGGGCATGCTGGTGAGCTCTTATCAGGTCTTGGCCTCACTGCGGCTGGCCTCTTTTCACCATTGTTTTCGCTTCCGAAGGGAGACATTCGGCGACATTCCTTGGGAGAAGCGGAAGCTCCCAGCGTCAGGCCTCCGCGTTAGGCCGTGCTGACCTTTTGATACATCAATTCCCGTTCATTTATTCCTGCACTCCATTTATTAACCAAAATTTCTAGGCATGGAACCCACTGATGGGCCCTGGGCAGGATAGATAGATAGTGCTTCTTCCCTGGCGCACTTTTTCGAGGGAGGGGTGTGGTGTGTGTGTGTGGCGGGGTGTGCACCTGGCTGGTGAAAAGAGGACTTCATTTATCCATTAATTCAACAAATATTCAGCAAATATTTATTGAACAATTGTAGTGTGCCAGGCACTGTGCTAGGCGTTGCACAGATGAAGTTCCTGTCTTAATGTAGGTAATAGTCCAGAGGAACAGATACTAATCAAAGAATCCATAGAAATGCAAAATTATGGTAGTGATAAATGTCAGGAAAAAAGGTTCACAGTTCTGAGAAGGTGTATAATTGGAGCATTTGCCTCATTGTGAGGACTCGGGAGTCAGAATCGAGCCTTGGTTAATATTTTTATCTTTAAAAATAGCGTGTAATATTTAAGAAAGCCTTGTCATGATCAAGTTTTCATTTTGGAAAGCGATTCTGGCTGCAGTGTGGAGAACAAATTAGAGCCAAAATAGAGGACAGCTAGGATTAGATAAGAGTGATGGCAGAAGAAAAATGCAGGGAATTCATGGTTTATTAAGGAGATGAAATCAATAGGGCTTGAAGATAAGGTTTGGTTGTGAGTGAGGAGTCAGCACTGTTGGGGTTTTAGATTTCTATTTCTCTTCAGCGGGAGAGGAAACACTGGAAAAGGACCAGACGAGGAGCTGATGAATTTTGAGGTGTCCTATGGTGTACAAACTGGATATGGCTCTCCAAGAAACAATTATAATTACATGTGACAACTGCTATGATAGAGGAAGTGCAGGATCCCATGGGAGCACCAGGAATTGATGAGTGATAGGAGGCAAAGGGCCTCCTAGAAGAGGTGGTGCTCAGAGATAAATAAAAATGCTTAATAGATTATTACAGAGCTTGCTCTGAGACGCTGTATGGATTTCTGGAATTTTGAAAGTGACTTTCTGAGCTGGTCAGGAAGACTTTAGAGAAGTGCTAAGCCATGAACAATGGGGAAAATTTACACTCAAGATGCTAGGAGAAGTAACTACCCCAGAGAATGGCAAGAGCAGAGAGTAATCAGATTGGCAGCAGGGAAGGTTTATGTTAGGGAAACTCGGAGAAGGCCCTGGGACTTGTGTAAGGCTGTGGTTCTGCAGGCAATTGATTTTCTTAATGTTTTTAAGTTTTAAACTCTTGGGTGTCTGAAGGATGGATTGGAAGAAGAGAAGGCATCAGAGGAAGTGTAAGCTTATTTATTTTGCATCTAATACCAGATTTATTATATTTCTCTCTTGATTTTGCCCCTGCCATATCACAGACTGTCAGTTGTTCAACCTTGCAGCTATCCTCTATCCTTCACTTCCCATCCTACTTCTCTCCACTTTGTCTTCAGGTCTTCAGAATTCTAGATTTCTCATCTGTCCCCCCCACCCCTGCACCCCGCCCCATCTTCATTTGACTTCGCCTTTTTTACTGATGTTTTTGCTTACAGTCAGTTGTTTCTTCAGACCACCTTTGACTCTGTTACTAAAATGATCTTTCTAAAACAGATACGATCATGTCATTTCTCAGCTTGAAAATATTCAGTGATATGGACAATAAAATTCACCAGAAAAGCAATGACAAATCAGTAAGAACTATATTTCAAGATGAGTTAAAAGACATTAAGGAAATGATATGAGAAGTGGAAAAAACATGTAAATCAGAATTATAAAAACTCAGAAATGAGATGATAGAACAAGTTACTTCACAACTTAGGGCCAGTCTGCCTTATGAACCTGAGCTCTTGCCACTTCCTACCTCCCTACCCCATAACACTTTACATATAACTCCTATTGTAGCCCTTTTCATATAAATGTACAATTATCAGAGTATCTCTCCTTCTCCGATTGTAAAACTGTTTGAGGCTTGAACTGAGTATTCCTCCTCTTTTTACTCCTAACATGTTCTTACAGTATTACTTGGCATATTGCACTTAGCATATTGTAGGTGGTGATAATATGTGTGTAAGATGTTTGAGAAAGGGGATTGATGGAACTTGGTGACTGGAAGGGAGATTTTTGACTCTAGGTGGTAGACCCATCCACGAAACTTGGGAAGAGAGGAGAAGAAGCTGGTTCAATTTCGGAGGAAATGATATGCTAAATTTTAGATATGGTGAGTTGGAGGTGTTGGTGAAACCGTTAGATGGAGCTGTCCAGTGGTCAGAAATAGTTCACATGCACTGAATGTCTCAGGTAACCTCAGAGAGACTGGGTCACATCTCTACCTGATCCAGGAAGATAAGTATTTACCAAACCTAGCAGGCCTATTCATGTTTCCTGAATTGCCTTAATGTTTATCTCTTGTTTGCAGCTTGGCTTGTGGAGATGTTGAAGGAAAGTTTGATATGTTATTCAATAGAGTTCGAACAATTCAGAAGAAAAGTGGAAACTTTGATGTAAGATGTTTCTCTTTACTGAATATAATTTTACTGTTGTAGTCGAACATACTAAAATCAAGTTTGGGCTCCTTTATTCATTTCTCAGTTGAACACATACTCTCTTTTTTTTGTTAGATTGAGTTCCTTTTGTGAGCCTAGGAACTTAGTAGCTGCAGAGTGGTGGAAGAAGGGAGACCTGTTTACCTTTTTATATTTTTTGAATTTTAATCTTGTTACTTTATTTTACTGTACACGAAACTGAAAAAAAGACTAGCAGAACATCCCTAAGTGATTCTGACCTCTGGGTTTGGGAAGCAGAAATGTGTTTCATGAGTGTTTGGTATAGATTAAGTCAGATAACATATGAGCAAATGCTTCACAAACCAAAGAACCATATATAAATGTTATGTGTGGTCACCAACTAGACTGTAAATTCTATTACAGATATGGGGGCAGTATGTTCATTGGGTTAAAGATTGAGTAAAGGCCAACAGGCAGGAAATGCGTTTTATATGCCCTGTATTTCTCAGGGTACCTAATGTTTAAAGTTTGTATTTCACAGAGTGATTCTTTTAGGTCAATTTCTCCATCTTTCCCTGGACTCCCTCTTCCCCATCCCCAATTTGAACTTGATAGCCAGTGAGCCAAAATTTAGTAGTTTATAGAATTAGAGTAGCTACTACAATTGCTGCTAAAGAATTCATCTATTGAAATTCTGCAAATTGATTAAGGAAAAAACTTGGTTTGTGATCATTACTTAGGATAATTAGCTGAATAAGGTTACTATCAATTATGTACTGATAAAAAAAATCTCATATCTGTTTAAAATACTCATTTTAGCTGCTGTTGTGTGTAGGAAATTTCTTTGGCTCCATTCCAAATGCTGAATGGGAGGAGTATAAAACTGGCATCAAGAAAGGTATGGAATTATTTTTAACAAATGATTTCTAACAAAGCTTCAAGGCTACACAATTCTTGCTGGGTTGTTTTTCACATGTTTTAGTTATTTAAGAATTTCCTTTTGAGCTCTGCATTGATCTGAGTGGAATGCAAATGCATCTAAATGTTCACATTTTGAATTTGGTTGGATGTAGTTCCAGAAAAATCTAAGTACGTAGGAATTGAATAAATACAACCATGTCTTTTTCTTTTTCCTTTTTTTGTGTTTTTTCCTAATTATACATTGATCATCCTCTTTAAGATGTCACTTCATCAACCTGGTGACACCATTTAATAGGCCGCTAGGTTAGGTGTAGGATATCATAGTTGGTGAGCATATTCTACAGGTAGGATTGCAGACTCTTTACTTTTGCTATGATTATTTTTCCTATGGGGAAGCATTTCTCAAGTTTCAAACCAGATCTGGTAACTATGGTTTACTGTCTTTCTATCTCTAGCTCCTATTCAGACATATGTGCTAGGTGCCAACAACCAAGAAACAGTAAAATATTTCCAAGATGCTGATGGGTGTGAATTAGCTGAAAACATTACTTATCTGGGTAAGTTGACATTTTGTGTGTGTATGTGTTTATAATCAACATAATAAAGTGTCCTTAGGAATTAGTATCTGGATTTTTGTGGTTGGATTCGTCTGCCATTACTGCTTGAGAGAATGGGTGTTGGCAGAGGGATTCGTTCCCAAAGTTTGTGTCTATACCCTTAAAACTGGTATTTTTTCCCTTTGTGGTCTTTCCCACCTCCCTCCAATCTCCTTGTGTTCCCACAACCAAATATATACTCTTTGAAATAGAGGAATAAACTACTTGTCTACAGTGTATCAAGTACTTAAGGTGTAAATGATGTTTAAACTCCTTGTGTGTAGTCTCACCATTTAACATTGCTAGATATGTACAGCTTACTTGTTGGATTCCTAACTAGCTGTAGTTCTAGGTTTCACTAAAGATTTTTGGAAACTCAATTTTTTAGCTCTGATCTTTGGGTTTTTCACTCCCTTTGTCCTTTTTCTGGTTCCAGGTCCACTCTGCAGTTCCAGGTTAAGGTTGTTCTTTCCTCACGCCCCTGAATCTCTTCTAGTGGTTCTTTCAGTGTCTGGCTGTTTTAAAAAGCATTGTCAAATTTTGCTTTTGTTTTCCCTTCACCTGTTGTCAAGTTTGCAGCCTCTTGGAACATTCAGCTCATTTTTTTTTTTTTTTTCTTAAAATGGCTCCACTGCCCTTCATATTTCCTCTTTCTTGATCCCTCATTTCTCTAGAAAGCTTATACATTTTCTTTGCTGTGAATGTCCTTACTTTCCCTCTCCACTGTAGTCTGCCATGGCCTTTGTTCTCTACATCTGACTGTGGCCCTACTATAAGCAATCTCATCTTATTTCAATTATATGGGTCTCCTTTAGGCATAAAATCGAGGGACAGATTTTTGTTTCTTATTTTTAATCACAGTTGCGAGATATACATTTTGAAATTCTTTTGTTGTAGTTCCTAACATGGACCTGTCTTAATAGCAGTTCTAATTGTAGTTATTAGATTTGAGTTAAGACCACTACTGGAGATATTTATGGCAGCTATTTTACCATATGAATTTAGTGCCAGGAGTGGAAAGAGCAGCTGAGGTATTTGGGTTATTTCTCTGCAAGATTTTTTGAGATCCAGTAAGAGGAGCAAACAATGAACTTGATAATAAACATGTGATACTGAGCTTAAAGTGCTGGCAAAACATCCAACATATAGTTGGATATGATCTTTCTAGAGTTTATAAACAAGGTCAATGTTGAAAGTATAGATTTTGGGGAGTTAGTCCCATAAAGATGAAAAATAAAGCTCAAGAAGATCACATTTGTTAAAGAAATATAATGAGAAGGGAAGCAGGCAGATGATGGTACCTTATGGTTGGGGCATATATCTTCATCTAGAGGGTAGGCAAAGAGGTGAAAGTGACTAGAAGACTGTTGAGAGCGGTAAAGATGTTAAGTTTATAGACTAAATGAAGAGAGAACAGTTTCAGGAGTAGAGACTTGGCAATTAGTGACCTTTAGGAGAATGATGGGAGAGGGAAACTAGTGTGTTAAGAAACTAATTAAGAGGTAAGGCATTTAGGACAGACTACTCTTGAGAACTTTGTAACTGAAAAGGAAGAACTTTGTCAGTTAGTATATGTGTTCCTTTATTAGTATGTATATTAATTAGTATGTTTAATACTCTATTTTCTGAATGGAAAGAGCCAGTTGAGAAGAGACTCAGGTGAAAGGAAGGTGAAAACTGGTGGAGCAAGGTCTTGAAGGCACAAGTGAAAAATAAATTTAGAAGAGGTAGAGTTTCTAATTTTTCCTAAACAGTTATACTTTTGAAATGTTTTCCTTCTCTTGGAAGCTGCTGCCTTCATGAAGAATACATCTAGGCTGCACCTTCCTCAGAACTGCAGTTATTTTTTTCTTCTCATTGCTTCACCCCATGTCCAGGTGTCTGGGTTTCTTTCACTCCATGTAGCATTTCCTCTAGTAGGCAGAAAGCCTTTCTCTTACTTAGTGTTTCCCAACTTTTTTCATTTGTAAGGCACCTGGGGTAAACCGACTAGCCAGGGACTCCAGCAGCCTCTACATAAGGGCTGCTTTTACTGAACAGCAATACTGTTGTAGCCATCCAACACTGAGGCCTAGCAGCCAGAAGGGGGCTCTAGGAGAGTTTACACTCATTCAGACGTGTAGAAGGCAGGGAAGTTGGAGAGTTGGTGGCAGAGATCGAGATTCATTTCCATAGTGACATGTCATTTGCAGTTTTGACTAAAACTTTTCCATGTTTCTTTGAACCAGGTCGTAAAGGTGTCTTCACCGGAAGCTCGGGACTACAGATTGTGTACCTCAGTGGGACAGAGTCCTTAAGTGAGCCAGTCCCAGGTTACAGTTTTAGTCCCAAAGATGTGTCTTTCCTGAGGACAATGCTGTGTTCAACATCCCAGTTTAAGGGTGTTGATATCTTGCTCACATCCCCATGGCCCAAATATGTGGGGAACTTTGGGAATTCTTCTGTGAGTAATGCTTGCTCAGTTGTAATTTCTAAAAGCAAATTGCATTGGCTTAATTTGGGCTTTTTTTTTTTTTTTTTTTTTGAACTCTCTGTACATCCTGCTCAATTTTGTTGTAAACTTAAAATTGCTCTAATAAATTTTATTAATTTAAAAAGAAGTCTCCTACTATGACTGTAGATTATTTTTCTTAATTTGGGCTCTTTTTTTTTTTTTTTTTTTTGCTTTATATTGAGTATTTCGGCTCTTAGTACCTGTCAGTAGAAATCTTCTGTGAGTTTTTTCAGGATACCTAAAGCTATATCAACTGACCAAAGCAAAAGTTGATTCTATGAAAGCACGATTCACAGATGAGATTGCTGAAATCTCAATTATGACTGAATCGTTCTTTAGATTATATTGTCTGCTTCAGGTACCGTCTCTCAGGCTTCCTCTTAATGTATTTTGAGTATTCACTAATTTTTAGTGAAAAGATTTATAGCTAGTGGCAGCTCTGCAGTCATATTTTCCCCCTTCCATTACAGATTATAGCTTTTTGCCTATCAATTTTTTTAAAAAATGGAATCATTATGGGATCGAAGATTGAGAGATCTAAAGATGGGAAATGAGATGTTGGAAACTTGGTACTTCTCTAATGTGAAAGCTTTAATGTTGGGATGCATTGGAGCTTACCTAGCATTTGATCTTAATATTTTTATAAGCAGCCTAGAAGAGGATGTACACCAGGTTGGTGAGTGACAGCTATAATGGATTGGGAAATACTATATTGGTGGAAATAAGCCTAAGGAAGATCTGGAAAGGTCGTGTGTTAGTATAGAAAGCATCAGCTGAGCTTCAGTGAAGGGAAGTGTAAAAATGCATTTAGGGGCAAATGTCAATTAATAGATGCAGAGTTATCAGAAGGGGTCCAGAAAGGATCCTGTAAAGCAGTCTGCCACTTCAGCACAATATGTCTATACCAAAAAACCAGCAAGATACCAGGCATTGTCAGGGAGAATGTTGAAAAGGGACAATACTCTTCCCTTTCCACAAAGCCATGATTATTCTTCACCTAGAATACAAAGGGCAGTGCTGATTGCAGTGTGGAGAAGATGCAGCAAAGCTAGGAAAGATCCAGAGGACTGTTAAGCTGATGGTGGACGTGAGAAAGACACATGTGATGCTCTGTAAAGGAGGATCAGAAGAATGAGGCCCCTTCATTTTAGGGGTGCTAAAAAAGAATTTTGATTAAAGTTTATAAATAACCGTATAAGATGTAAGAGAGAAAACAATACAGTTCACCAGTTCCTAAGATGCTACAACTAAGCTCAAGGCCAATTCCCTGTATTTCAGTAGAAGTTCTTTACTTACTGGAAAATTAACTTTGATGATTTTTTTATTTCCAGCTAATAACTTCTCTTAGAGTTTATACGTAATAGTGTGGATGAGAAGTCACATAATTTGTTGTTAATGGAAACTAGGGATGCTCTGGGAACAAGCCTAACTTTTGACAAACTTTATGTTACAAACTTTACAATAAAGGCATGGTCGTGGCCTTCTACAAACCATGCCTTCCTTGACTGAAGTAAAATAAAGGTTTGCATACTTATGTGAAGTCCTTTTATATTCCATACTAAATATTCTGTGGATCCTTGGAGCCCTGAAAGCTAGCTTAAGTTTTATTTTCTTCATTGTCTATCTGCATTGTCAGAACTATAGGTGCACAACAAAATGAATTATAGGAGCGTAGTGTGTGGGCTTCAGAGAGAGTTTACTTTCCAAAAATTAATAAACCCTGTTTTGGGTATTAATGTGAAGGACTTACCTTTTAACCTCTAGCTTCTAGCAGTTGTTCTTATTTCTGTATTTATAATAGCTCAGCTCTCCCTCTGTGTTTCAGAGTTCTCTGATTGCCATAAGTATGGAGTTTACTATGCAAACCCTACTGCCTAAATTTATATCTACATACAGATATCAAAGACATTGCAAAATGTCTTGTTATTTCTTTGCATTTTTTGTTAACTCTTAGGTCTGTAAAGATGACTGAGTTTCTGTTTACCAGGGAGAAGTGGATACCAAAAAATGTGGCTCTGCTTTGGTCTCCAGTCTTGCCACAGTCTTGAAACCAAGATATCATTTTGCTGCTTTGGAAAAGACCTATTATGAGAGGCTTCCATATCGGTGAGTAGCATTTTGTTCTTTTTGGTTTTTTGAAGAATTTGCCTTGGATTTTCTGTGTAAACTTCTCATGTTCATTTCAGCAATGTCTTAGTTTCTTTTAGTTACTCAGGCACTGAAATGAGTGACTCTCAAGTCATTAAACTTCTATGAGTTTGTTCTCTAATTTGAAATACAAGGGATTGTACTATATAGAGCCCCTGAAAGGTTTGAGGGTCTGAGGTAACAACATTGTTTAATTATCATGGCTTGATGTAGCACAGTAACTCCTGTTTTGATCAGGTCAAACAGTACTCTTTGTATAGTCCTAATATCAATATAATCACTAGAAGTATTTCAGTTTGGGAATCAAGACCATGTATCAGTTTTTTCCTTCTTTTTTTTAAAGTTTGAGTGGAGGTAGAGTTTTTAAAGGATGTATTGCAGAGAAAATAAAACCAGTGATTTAGAAGTGATAGAGTTACGTAAAGTTAACTCTGAATTATCTTTACTGTAAAGGGCATGGATAATCCCTGAAATAATTTATGAAAACTTTTTTACACAAAAATAATGTATGTGTTGTTGAAAGTTAAAAAAGTATAGGAGAGCAAAAAGGAGAAAATAACCTGCCCTTTTCCCGTAATACCACAGCCTAAGATATAACCATAGGTGATATTTCTGTTATATCTCTGTATAACATTCCAGAAAATCTTCTTGTTCTTTAAAACTATGCACCAAAAACAGAAGCTTTTAAGAATCTTAGTACACATTTCTCTGAAGAATATATACCAATGGCCAATAGACACATGAAAAGATGCTCACATCATTAGCCATTAGTGTAATCCAAATCAAAAGCACCATATGATATCACTTCAAAGACGTAAACAATAACAAGTGTTGGCAAGAATATGGAGGAATTAGAACCTTCATACATTGCTGGTGGGAATGTAAAATGGTGCAGTTGCTTTGCAAAACTGATATTTCCTTAAAAGGTTAAACATAGAGTTGCCGTATGACCCAGCAATTCCACTCCTGTTCCAATCAAAATGAAAATATAGGTCCACACAAAATTTGTACACAAATTATCATAATAGCATTAATCATAAATATTCATAATAGCCAAAATGTGGAAGTAACCCAAATGTTCATAACCCGCTGAATGGATTTAAAAAAAGAGGTATATTCATGCTATGGAATATTATTCAAGAAAAAAAGGAATGGAATACTGATACATGGGTGAACCTTTAAAACGTTATCTTTCTAAATGAAAGAATCCAGACACAAAAGATCACATATTGTATGATTCCACTGATATATAGTGTCCAGAATAGGCAAATTTGTATTGTTTTAAGCTACAAAGTAGAGATGGTAGCTAAGTGGTTGCCAGGGGCTAGTTAGAGGGAAATGGGAAGTGACTGCTAATAGGTATAGGGTTTCTCTTTCCAGTGCTAAAAATGTCGTAAAATTAAATTGTGGTGATAGTTGCTCAGATCTGTGAATATACTAAAAACTGTTGAGTTGTATACTTTAAATGGGTGAATTGTATAGTATTTGAATTAGCTCTTAAAGCTGTTTAAAAAAAAAACCAAAAAACCCTGTGTAACTTTTTAACCAGAGTTATAACGAGAACCTATAACTATCATAATAAAAAATACTAGTGTAGTTAAATCTCTACTAACGTTTGCACCTAGAATTACAGTCAGTCCATGCTTTACATCCCTGTATTGTGAAACTTAAAGTTTTTCCTTGAGGAGCAATTTATCATAATTAAAAATACCATTCAGGGGTAGCATTCTTCATCAGTCATTTTTATTTTAAATGGGGGAAACATCTTCCCAACTTCTTTATCTGTACTTGCAGTTTCCCTGTGGTATTGGTTTTTTATTGTTACTATAACAAATTATTCCAAACTTTGTAGCTTAAAACAATACAAATTTATTACCATATAGTTCCATAGGTCACATGTTTGACTGGGCTAAAATCAAGATGTTGGCCAGGTTGTGTTTGTTCCTAGAGGCTCTAGGGGAGAATCAGTTTCCTTGTCTTTTTCAGCTTCTAAAGGCCACCTGCCTATGTTCCAAGGCTCATAGCTCCCTTGCACTATCTTAAAGCCAGCGACTCTGACTGAATCCTTCTTACCACTCTTACCTTCTTCTATAGTCACTTCCCTCTCTCTTCTGCTTCCCTCTTTCACTTTTAAGGACCCTTGGGTTATGTTGGGTCTGTCCGGGTTGTCCAGGATCATCTCCCTATCTTAAAGTCAGTTGATTAGCACGTGATTAAATCCATCTGTCACCTTAATTTCCCTTTGCTGCGTAAGCTAACATCGACAGGTTATGGGATTAAATCATGGACATCATTGTGGGAGGGACATTGTTTTTGCTTATTACACCCGGATAACTTAATAGTGGAAAATGTTAGCAATCCCTGAGGTTACTGCACTAGTTACTACTTGTGCTAAAGAAAGACACTTCTCAGGCTATTCCTTAATGTCTTCATGTATTACTAAAACTTCCATTTAATTATGAGTCAATCTGTTCCAGTCATTTTAACAGTTGGAGACAGTTGCATGTGAAACACCATGACTTTCACCTTAGACTGATACCAGTCCCATTTACCAGCTATGAATGTACTTGCTCCGTTTAAAAAACAAGTTGTAGCAGACAGACTATCTTTTGGTTATTTTCCTTCAATAATGTGACTATAAAATGTGTATTTTGTATTTTTTATGTAAAATGATATGCTAGATTTTTAAGTAAAATTATATTTTTGTAACATTTAGAAAATTTCTGAGGCATGAGGAAAATAAAGACCTCTAGGGATTGGCATCTGTATTAATGTTCAACTTACTAAAAATAAAAAAATACATGTAATGCCGTACCTTTTTTAATTACAAATAATAGTTGCTCAATGTGGAATAGTTATTAAAAAGCTCAAAAAATATTTTGGCATATGCAGTTTCCATATTTTTGTCTATGAAATACAGACATTCATGTATATTTATGGTTTTTCTAGAAAAAATGAAATTCTATATATTACTATTTGAAGCATACTTTTTTCTACTTAAAACTCATTTCTTTTTGGTTTTCATTATTATACTTTTTATTACACCAAAGAAGAGAGAACAGTATAATGAACCTTCCTATCCTCATCACCTAGCTTCAGCATTTATCAACCTTGTGCCAGTTTTACAACTCTTTTAAAACTAAAAGTTGGAGTTTTTGTACTTTTCAGATACATGATGTTATTTTTCCCTAACAACAGCCCTGGAAGGTAGGGATGTTTATCCTACTAGATGGACAGGTAGCATCTTACTGGTGGTGATGGACTCAGGACTCTTTTCATGGCCTGACGGAGTCTACATATTTTACAATTGTAAATCAAAAGTAAAGTTTGTTGGTAACCCATTATCTCTCAAATATATTATAGAAACCACATCGTTCTGCAGGAAAATGCACAACATGCCACCAGGTTCATAGCTCTGGCTAATGTTGGAAATCCAGAGAAGAAAAAGGTAAAGATTTGAGTATTTGGGAGTAGGTTAATATTCATTTTCGGCCTGATAAGTGTTTCTCTTGCCCAGTTTAGTATTCAGATCTTCTCCCCAACCACAGTGTCCCAGCACCTCAGTGACTCCTTTATAAAGATACGGGAATGAAGGGTCAGCTTTCCTTGGGTACTTTGTAGGATATTTTAGAGCCAAATTTGGGAAAACAGGCCCAGTAGAACAAAGACAGATTTCAAATGAATGCTGTTTCTTTCTTCTCGTGTGATTGTCTCTGTGGGTATTAATGAATTTGCCTTCAGATGGTATGCTGGCTTTGCTTCTTTTAGCATCTTCATTTAGCAGAAGTATAAGGTCCTCTCAGAGATTTCCCTAAGTCCCCCTTTGGCTTTGAGAAATCTTAATGATACCTGGAATCTGTCTTTGCACTGGAAAACAGTGCAGGTGAATGAAGGCAAATATACCAGGAAAAGCACATTATTTTTCTTAATTCCCTGAGAGTATTTCTGATTCAGTAGGGCCAAAAGCAGAATTTTGTGGATTGAGACAGCTAACATCAGAATGATTGGTCAAAGGGGGAAATAGATAAATAATGTGGAGATTATTCCACTGTAACATGCTATAAACAGCGTACATAAGAAAAATAAGCAAATACACATTTTCTCTTTTCTATGTCTTAAGCTTTTAAGACCAGTGCATTCTTAGATTTGTAATTGTTTTTTTACTGCCTTTTCAAGAATGAATATCACTCACAGTATTATTCGTCTGTTGCTTTACTCTCAGAGTTGTGAAGTTAGCCTCAGCCCTAAGCAGCTCATGCTTCATTCAAAGAGTATGCACATTTTTTAATTTGGCAAGCATTCTTAAATTCATCTCAAAATTTTCTTCCAGTTTACACCCCCCACCAGCAGTGTATGAATTTGTTTGCTTTCTATCCACTTTCTCATTCTCAGTTGGTAGTATCAAGTTTTTATTACAGTTTTTGCCATTCTGATAGATGAAGATGGTGTATCACTATTAATTAGTTACATTTCCATGATCTGTGGTGAGGTTAAGCATCTGTTCATATTACATCTAAAATTCCCAGTACTGTCTACAGCCATGCCACCCTGAACATGCCCGATCTCGTCTGATCTCGGAAGCTAAGCAGGGTCGAGCCTGGTAAGTAGTTGGATGGGAGACCACATAGGAAGACAGGTGCTGTAGGTGGGAAAAAAAAAATAAAGTTCCCAGTACCTGTGCCATTAGTCTGAAATTCTAGGTATTCAAATGAATAATTTATTTCTTTGCTACTGGTGCCTAAAAAAATTTATCAGCATATACAACAGAAATTGTATAGTTTCAGAGGGAAAAACTTAAGTTGTCCAATTTATTTTTCATTAGAAAAAAAGAATGACAGTGCCATGATTCTGTTGATGAAGTATACAAAGAAAGATAAAGGACTCAGAGGCAGAAGCAGTTTGTCTTCAAGGATTATGGAGCAAGTCCCTCTAGGCCTTGTATTGACTTTTTTTTTTGTAAGGGTGGAGACTTTGAATGTTGCTTGTCAGCGCTCTGTTAGCCCCTGCAGAGGTCACTGAGTTGGCACCTGATTTACTAGGTATTTCATGAGCCACAGATGGGCCAGTTGCTGCCCTTTTAATTTTACTCAGTTTTGAAGCCTTCTGTGAAATCATCACTATAAAATAGATGGATTACATTTGGATAAATAGTATTTTCCTTAATGTTATATTATTTTTCTTTAAAGTATCTTTATGCATTCAGTATTACTCCCTTGAAACTAATGGATGCAGCAGAACTGGTAAAACAGCCTCCAGATGTCACTGAAAACCCTTACAGAAAATCTGGGAAGGAAGTATCCATAGGAAAGCAAATTCCTTCCCCTGAGGTATGTTCTCATTGAGAGTTGGCATTTTTCTGGGCAGGATTGCCCATTACATGTATACTTTTGCTGGTTATAGTTTAATTCATAAGACAAGTTTAATCCCTAGAATCTAATTTTTTTTTCCGTTGAGAAATCATGGTGTTGTTTAGAAAGCCTTAGATTTCAAGTAAGCTCTTTTTTTTTATTGTAGTTTAAGGTTAACAGTTTCATATTTTAAGTCATTCTCTAAATTTGGTTCATGTTTGGGTTACACATGTTAAGTCTTTTCTTGTCTAAAGTTAATTCTCTGTTCTTAACTTTTCAGGCAAGTATCCAACAACTGCTCGGTAGCAATTAATTTGTGATTTTTATAATGAGTGCTAGTAGGTAATGATTCACTCTGAAGAAATTTCTAAATAGCAGACTTTTCTGAAATTAATTTTTTATTTACTAAAGCAAGGAATGTCAAATTCCCTTTCTATCATACATGGTCTGCTTTCTCAAACGTTTTAAATGAGCAACCTTCTCATCTTTTTAATTAAAGACTGCAGTATGGCCCTATTGAGAGAGAAAGGGAAAAGAATTCAGGTGGGTTCATGTTGTTTTAGGCAAGAATTACTGTATACCTTGCATTTTAATTTTCTTTTCCAAAGAGATGAATTTGGTGGTATCTTGGATAAGTGTTGAGAAGTATGACTAAGAGTCCAGTCATCTTCTCTAGAATAGGCTGAAAGGGCTGGGAGGAAGGATA